TCTCACTGTCTCTCTCTGGTGAGCACAATATACAAAAACCTTAAAAAAAAAAAAAAGAGAATAACTGCTTGCAGTTTTATTTTAGTTTTCTATTATTATTATTTGTTTCCTTAAGGCATGTATGCTGGAGAGAAACATAGAGAGATAGTGAGAGGGAAAGTGAGAAACCACCCACTGGGGGGATGGCTGTGCCACAATCCCTTCTCCTCCATTCTCCTCTCAAGATTTTGGGCATGCACACACATGTGACAGGTTTGATTTTTAAGCACCCAGGTCAGGGTCTTGAACCACAGTCAGCCATGTGGGGGCCAGTGCCTCAACCAATACACCACCTGCTGGCCTCAGTTAGTTACTCTCCTAACTCCCTCTTTAACTGAACTGTGGCTCCCAGGAACAGCCTTATATAGAGAGGGAGTATTGTATTAGAAAGAAAATGTTACTGGACTATTGACAGAAAGTTAATTTAGATAAAATACAGCTTTTTTCCCCCCCATGGGCATTTGTTTTGTTTCAAGTCATCATAAACTAGGTATTGCATTGCCATCAGTGGATATAGAAGCCTAACTTTTTTTTAGAGAAATAAAATTTTTATGTAAACTGAATATGTAAAATAGCTTACTTCACTCTATGGGTCTTGTTTACCTTCATTAGTCTTTTTTTTGAGAGAGGTTTTTGCTATAGGGCGCATGCGCTCGCCAGACAGACAGAGAGAGACATAGAGACAGAAAGCGAGAAATCACCCCCCCAGGGGGGATGGCCACGCCGCAATCCCTTCTCCTCTCGGGATCTTGGGCACACACGCACACGTGCCCGGCATGAGTTTAAGCCACCGGGTCTGGGACTTGAACCACGGTCGACTACATGGGAGTCCAGCGACATAGCCATTACACTAACTGCTGGTCCCATCCTTCATTAATCTTCAAAGAACAATCATTTGTGGGACCAGCCGATGGCATAATGGTTATGTCTCTGGACTCCCACATAGTCGACCGAAGTTGAGTCCTGGAAACTCACTCTGGGCGCATGTGTATGTATGTGTGTGCTCAAAATCCCAAGAGGAGAATGGAGGAGAAGGGATTGCAGTGTGTTCATTACCTTGCAGTGAGTTTCTGTCTTTTTGTTTCTCCAGTGAGCGCACGCACCCTATGGCAAAAAATCTCTCTAAAAAAAAAAAAAAAAAAAACAATCACTTGCTACCAAAGTATATCAGTATTTTGAATGTGCGTCTCTTGGTTTTGTTTATTAGCTAGTTCCTGCAAGCATTTCCACCAGAACTAGAGGCAAATCATAGGAAGCTTTTCTTTTAAAATATAAAGCACTACCGAAAATTTCCATGTACATATATATTGTTTAAGTATTTGGCTGGTTTTGTTTGTAAAAAGATATAAACACCAAAAAAGAAAAATTTATATTGTATAATGATGCAAACAGGAAGATGCACTTTCTGTAACTTTGTGTAAGTATTTTAAGTTACTAATTTTAACTGAATTTACTACAGGATCTCTTAGTACAATCACATGGCTTTTGTAAAATTTATTTTTTAAAGAATTATTTATTTTTAATTTATTATTATTATATTATTATTATATTTAAATTTGCTATAGGGCACTTGTGCTCACAGAGAGACAGAGAGAGTGGGAAAGTAAGAAAGCAAGTATCAGATCTGGGACTTGAACCACAGTCAGCCATGTGAGAATCCAGAGCTTTAACCACGATGTCACTTGCTGGCCCCATAAATGGCTTATTTTACATATATCTGTATTGACCAGTGGCTTCTCAAAAGTACTCTCTAGTTACTGATAATAGAAGAAAATAAATCTTCAAACATATTTTATGGAATCTCTCACCACAAATACTTGTTAGATTTGTGTATTGTATATTTGTAGTTTTCTATTCTATATAAACTTCCTTTTTAGTTTTTAAATATTAAATTAAATTTTTTTTAGTTTTTTTTTTTTTTTTCCTTATAGCATGTGTGCTTGCCAGAGACAGAGAGTGACAGTGAGAGGGAAAGTGAGAAATCACCCCCCAGAAGGGATGGCCACACGGCGAAGGGATGGCCACACGGCGATCCCTTCTCCCTCATTCTCCTCCTGGGATTTTGGGCATGGATGCACAGACACCTGGAGTGATTTTCAAGGTGCCAGGTCCAGGACTTGAACCACGGTCTTCCATTTGGGAGTCCAGAACATTAACCACTGTGCAACCTGCTGGCCTTGAACTTTCTTTTTAATGTGACAGTTATACTCATTTAAAAAAGCATGGTTGCAGACTAAAACATACAGTGTGTAATCATTTCCCTGAAAACTCCTCCAATGTTAAATTTGGAGGCTGCTGAAGCAGACCATTATACTGGTGGTAACTACTCACTGAGCTTTTCTAATAGGTAGTAAATTCAGAGAAGCAGCCTATGTATATTTAATACTTTGTTCACTTGCATTTAAGTTTAGAATAAGTCCCAAGTAAAACAATGGAAATGCATATAGAACTATTAATTCTTACAATGTTTAATTATATCAAGATACAGGAATTTAACTTTAACTTTTATGTAGGCAAGCTGTCCATTTTATTGTGTGTTAAAATAACTTTCCTCTCCTACACATTCTCTTCTTGACCCAAATGAAATATTAACCTAAGGTCAAGAAGGGAGAGAAAAATGAATGTCTTTACTAAAATACCAATAAATTTGTCAAACTCAAAACAAACAAATGAGTCATTGGCAGGAAGTGGGAGGTGAAACCACGGTTGTCTATGAAGTGCACTAAGGAGAACATTTAGAACGAGAAGAAGGAAGCTGAGGATGGGGCTCTCACACACTTGAAAGGTAGAAAAATTTGTCAGGGAGGAGTCTGCATTAGGCACCCAGATGCTCACTTCATTCTCCACAGTTGACTGTGGACACTGAAATCCACAGGTCTTAGACATTGATTTTCCAGTAAATCCACATCTGAAATGGATTAGGAAACTGTGTGTACTGTGACAAATCCGTCTGCAATGAGACTGGCGCTTCTTGTGATCTTTATCATTTCTGTAGATGACCCTTGAGTCCTTCCTACCTTGGGAGCTTATTTTATCTCATGATATAGAAAATCCCAAATGAATATTTTGACTTGATCCATGTGTATTTAGAGAGAAAACACATCCCTTCTCTAAGGATACCCTTCACAGAATTAGTCTGAGAGACACTTGCCAAGTTCTTGAATAACTAAATTAACAAACAGGACACAAATGTTCAGGGATCAAAGTGGGTTGCCTTTTGGAATTAGTCACATTGCTTATTTTAAATGACTTTATATGTGATTTTATATACTTGAAAAAATAACACTAGACAGAGCAGCAAACCCTTACATAGAATTCACTGTTCTAAATATTCTACATACATCAGTTTAGTTCACAACCCTACAAGGCATTTTGTAGATGAGAAGGTGAGACACAGAGAGATTAAATAAGGTACCCAAGTGGCATCAGCTCGTAAGTGTCAGTGTTTGCATATAGCCTAGCTCTTCAGGCCCCAGGGTCTATGCCATCAACACTGCAGTAAACGTATCCTTTACCACAACTTGTCACTTCCAGATTAAGTTAATTATAAACTAACAAATTACGTTGTCCTCATGGTTTAGTGGTTAAAGAAACTGGATCCCACATGGCCTATGATGGATTCAAGTCCCAGCCCAACCATCTTGAGAAACATGCTGGGTGTATATGTGAGCAGTCCCCCAATCCTAACAGGTTGGAGAAATTGAGGAGAAAGGATTGCAGTGTGACCACTTCCACTGGGGGCTGTTTTCTCCTCTCCCTCCTCTCTGTCTCTCTTTGATGAGTGCGGGTACCTTCTGGCAAAAACAAACAAACAAATAAACCAGCCAATAAATCCAACCAAGGCTACTGATTTGAAAACAGACATTTTTACATGCCTGAATTCAACCAGGATATTCCAATTTTTTCTGCGAATGTGGACACATGTTAGACAGTATTAATAATAATACTTACTGCATATTTTCTAGGGGCTAGGATTTGTTCTAATTGCTTTACGTACATTAGTTATTTAATCTTTACAATGACCCTGAAGTAATGCTGTTATTATCCTCATCTTGTAGATGGGGAGTCTGAGGCATAGAGAGGGAAAGTAGCTATTATAATGTTATTAATAATAATACCTTATATTATCTGATTATAAATTGGTATGCTTTTAAAACTTTGGCGTATTCAAGGCACATATATAAAATGACACATATTTCTTATTCTTTATTTTAAGCATTCAAGATACACGATTAATAGGCAGACATAGCTTTCATTAAAAACTCCAGATCTCAGAACCTCAAGGTTCTTGGAGTATTTACTATACAATAGAAACTCGATACTGGTTAAAGTGAAACAATTCTCAAAACTAAATTTAAATGGTGGGGGGAAAAAAGCCTACAGGCCATAAGTAAAAAAATAATTTGCTTTGCCAAAATGAAATATCTGTTGAATAACTTTAGGGGGTTAACCTTTCTCCGCATACTAATATCAGTATGCTCAGGTTCCCACTCACAACTTACTTTGTCTTCTTATAAATCTGCAAGTTTTCGCAGTGAATTTGTTTTACGATGAGCATTATTTGGAGAAGTTGGCAGGTTCTTAATAAACTGTACAATCTTGTCCTTGTGTATGACAGAGCCAAGCACCGTGTTGGCATAGGCACTTGATTTTTTTTTAACCTTGTTTTTGTTGTTACTGTATTCGTTTTTGTGTTCGCTTCCTTGTTTCACTAATTTAATCTGAAGACGAATTTCATAACTTTTAGGGAGAAATAAGTTTGCTTTATTTATTTAATTTTCAATTTACATTTTATCATTGTACATATACAGTATGGTTTTTCAAAGCGTGCATGCAGTGCATGTCAGTCAGGTCCAAAATATCACCCCACATATCCTCAACAATAAGCATCTCATCACTGGAGCTACTCAGGCAGAGGCTGGACTGTCACGTCAGGTGAGAGCACCCTTAACAGTTCCTACCGACTGTGAGCTTTTGTTGTCATACTTAGATGTTTATACAATATAAATATGGTATTACTTGTAGCGTCATAATGATGTGGAATGTGAGGTGTAGGGTTGATCAGGCCTAGCACCCGCAGCGGCAAGGTTCTTGTCTTGTGCTTATGAAGAATTAGAGATGCAGACACAGAGGAGGGATAGTTAAAGTGGAGAATATTGAAGGGGAGAAGGAAGAACAGAGCTCCCAAGAAGAAGGGAGGGGTCTCGAGATGGGTTGCTGAAGAGGAGCAGGAGTGGGGAGTTTTTATCTGGGTCATACGGGCTTTTTCTAGGTGGGGCTTAAACATGCATTCCCCCTTCTATGGTGAGGGTTATATGATGGATGGGTCCGGTTATTTCTCTTAATTTTGGAGTGGGTAAAAGGTCAGGAGATTCTTTGTCTAAAAGCTTTGGGTCATAAAAACCATTATTTTCTTCCTGGAATGTCGGGCCTGGAAAAAAGCCTGTGTTTTAAGTCTAGGTCATGCTGGTAGGTCAATCACTGAGCCACTGCTGCAAGCTGTCTCTGTGGGTAAAACTTAGCCAGTTTGTGGTTCCATTTTGTGTCTATATCCTAACTATATTCTTCAGGTCCCTGTCTCCTACCTCAACAGGAGTTTAAAAAAATTCATATTTCTTCTGAGTGGATCAAATCAATTTCTTTTGATGAGCAGTCGACAGCTTCTGGGATTGGAGTGTTCCTGACATTGCTTTCAAATCATCCTCTGATCTATTATTTCCAGGGTCAGGGATTCACTGATAAACCTTTCCCATTTGCAAATAATACAGACATTGTCTAAAGCTGTGGTCATCCTAGTCACTCAGTGGACAGACCTGGCTCTCCTTCACCACCCTTGGAGCTCTCTTTTGTACTTGAAGAGAGCAGAGACTGTTAGAATAGTCACTCTCCGTAAGGTTCTAATCACATTCTGAGTGGATAATGTTGAAGCTCATTAGTACAACATTGGTCAGGGTCACCATTTCTTGAATCTTCTCTTAATTTATTCAAACTTTCTTCCTTACTGCATTGCCTTTTTATTTTTTTAATGAGAGATTTTTGCTATCAGGTGTGAGTGCTCACTGGAGAGAGAGAGACAGAAAGTGAGAAATCACTCCTCAGGGAAGATGGCCATGCCGCAGTCACTTCTCCATTCTCCTCTTGGGATCTTGGGCACTCACACACAGGTACCCAGCATGAGTTTAAGCCGCTGGGTCTGAGACTCGAAATGTGGTCGACTACATGGGAGTCCAGCAATGCAAAAATTACACTATCTGCTGGTCTCTGCACTTCCTCTTTGTGGCGAGCACTGCGTACGGAAGCCATCTCGAGCTATCCGCCATCTTGGAAACCATTAAGCTTCACTTCCTCACTGAGCAAATTGTTTCTCAGAAATCATGTGACCAACCGTTCTCCCCGGAAGTGGTTGGGTTTCTAGGCAACGGGAGAGATCCACCCACATCAATGATTGGTTAATGCTGTTCTATCTCATTTGCATTTCGGGCAGCCAATTGGTTCCCACCAGCTGTATATAACTCGCCATTTTTCCTGAATAAATGGAAGTAGATGGAAGAAGACGACTTGACCAGCACCTCGTAGTGTGTGTGCATGTGTTTGTCCCATCTCTCACTCCCTCCCCCAAGGAACCTGTTCCACTGTCTTGCAGGCCGAGACACCTCTTTATTTTATTTTTAAGCTTTCTTAGATACAGGGTCTTCCTATGTTGCCCAGGCAGGACTTGAACTTGCAATTTTCCTTCCTCAGCCTCCTAAATAGCTGGGATACTGTGTACCAGTGCCCCTGGCTTTCTCTGTTGACCGTTAGAAACTGACAGTGAGTACTTTTCCGTGAACGAAAGTCAGTCTACTTTTTACGCTATAGTCTCCAACTTTAGTCACCTTTAGAGTCCTGCCTCTCTCTGGAGAACTGCTTACAACTAACAACTCTTAGTCACATTCAAAGGGGCTTCAACGAAACCCGGGAGCAGATGGTTATTATGAACATTCGCTTATACCTTTCTAGACCAGTAGGGGGCAGAGGGATCTTTAAATCCAAGTTCAGGTGTGGGAATGGGCAGAGATGGCTTGGAGGGATCTTCAAGGGGGCCAAGGACCAAATCCTGGGTGAAGAGAAACTAGAATGCTGAGCACCTGTTCTGGCAGGCCCATTTCAGGCACTGGAGTAACAGAAATAAGACACAATTCTTGGCCTCAAGAAGCTCACAGACATGCTAGCTATTCTACAGATATCCCATGTTGCTGTTTCCTGATTTTCTGGACTCTGCAACTTACCTGTTCCCTAATGGCCAGCTAAGCACCTTCCAGGTTACCCCAGGACTATACATGCAGACAGCTCTCTCTTTCATGTTTATCAAATTTATAAGCGTATTTTGCTGTTTTGTGCTTACTTGGATTCCAGACTTGGATATTTTCCTCCACCTGAGCAGACGTGCTTGGCCACGGCCCTTGATCTTAGTCTCCGTATTACATTTTCCCTTTTCTTTTGACTCACAAACCCCAGACTGACCTGTGCCTTGGCATCAGAGCAATAGTTTTAACAACAAATGTAGCTGCACGGCGGTGGCGGCACCTGCGCGGTTGGGGCTCTGCTCCGCGTTCCACTGCCTCTCCGGGGCTGGCGTGTGGCCTCCGGGCCTGCGCGTGAC